CCTGCCAGACACCCTCCCCTTTGCCGTGACGGCCCTGAGTGGGTAGGGCTTCAGGATGTCAGGAAGAGTGAAAGGGATTGTTGGTGACCCAAAGCCACACTGAGCAGATAAATTGCTAGCTGGTCCCCAAATCTGTTTCTGCTTCCTCCTAGGGGCACAGCAAGGCCACACCTCCCCGCCTTCCTGGACACGGAGCTGTGGCCACGTGACTGAGCAGAAGCAGCAGGTGTAATGTGCGTCTCCTCCTGGGCCTGACCCACAGAACCCACCCCTCCGTGACTCCGCCTGTTGGTCACCTTCCACCACAACTGAGGAAGTCACCTGGGGAAGCGGACGAGGCCCTGGAGTAGCCCGAGGAGCTGCCCACCCACCAGGAACACTGGTTTGTAACCTTAAGTGAGGGACAAATCCATTTCTATGTAACAAACCACAGGTGTTGTGGAGGTTATCCATTACTGCAACTGCTGTTACCTTAAGAAACACTAGAATGTGAGCACATCTGCACCTCTGTGATTCTCAGCTAAAGGTGTAGGTCTGAGTGAGTGTGTCTGTGTGTCTGTGGACTTGAGCCTGTGAACGCCTCAGAGGGTCTCGTGTATGTGTGCATGGGGGCCAAGCCTCAGGAGGGATGCGCGCCTATAGGGTGCGTGCATGAGCTGCTTCCGTGGTCTGAGCACATGTGGGCATCTGGGGATCTGAGTACACGTGTCCGCGGGCACCTGAACAGCTGTGTGCAGGTCTGAACAGCTGAGTGTGCTCACTCGGAGGCGGGCACTTTACTGGGTCTGAACATGTCTGTATGGCCTGAGGGCCTGAGAATAGGAGGCCTTCCCCGCGCAGCTCAGGTGTGCATCTGAGCACAGGAGTAAGTGTGTCAGTACCTGTGAGAGCCCATGTGGGCCAGTGTAGACACCAGTGTGTGTGCGTGTGTGTGTGTGTGCATGTGCACTGCTGTAGGACCCTAGTACGAGTCTGTGTGCCTTGAGAGGGCTGAGCACTGGTGTGGCTCCCAGCATGTGTGTGAGTCTGAAAGTATGTGCCTCTGAGTGTGTGTGTGTGTGTGTGTGTGTGTGTCTGAGCATGTGCGTGTCTCTGAACACATGGGCGTGAACGTAAGAATGGGCCTCTGCAGGTCTGAGCTACGGGGAGCCTCAGAGTATCCCCTCTCATGGGGCCACGGGAGGGGAACAGGCATGGGTCTAAACAAACGTCTGAACGAGCATGGCCCCTGGGCTCTGGCGACACACAGCCCATCTCTGAGGACCTGTGCACACGTACCCTGGGGATCTCGGCACACAGGTGCCTTCAGGGTGCACGTGGGCGCACCTCTGTGGGAATGAGCCACATGTGCTTGGGACATGACATCCCTTTGAGGATGTTTGTGCATCCCAGTGCCTGTGAACTTATTCGTGGGACACTGTAGGTCCGAGCGTGAGTGCAAACTTGGGTGGAGCTGTGCCGCACACACCTCTGAGCCCGGGCACAGATGCATGCTTCCCTGAACTCATGCAAATATGTGCGCCCACGCCTCGGAGGTCTGAGCACACTGTTCTGAACATGCATACACGGTCCCTCTGAACCATCTGTGAGCATCTGTAAGCCTGAGCATGCACGGAGGACGTGGTCGGAGCTATGCAGGTGGATTTGTATACATGTATGTACCTCTGTGAGCTGACTGCAGGTGTGGAACTCTGGCAATCCGAGGACGTGTGTGAACAAGCTCACGCTGAACACACACGCCCATCGCGAGTGTCTGAAATATGTGGGTGCCTCTGACCATGTGCATGTGATCCTAAACATTTGGTCTGTGCCTCAACAGGTATGAGTGTGTGTGAGCGTGCCTCCGTGTGCTGAAGACACCCCATGTGCATACCTTGGTGTGACGAGCACATGTAAGTGTGAAACACTGTGGGTCTGAGCAGGTGGGTGCCTGTGAGCAAGTGGGCAGGTGTGAGCTTGCTGGGAGATCCATAAATGTATGTGCATGGATATATGTGTGTGTGCCTCTGTGTGTGCTTATAGATGTGTGCCTCTGTGGATCTGAGTCTGGGTGTGCACTTCCTTTGTGCCTCAAGGGGTGCACACTCTAATCCCTGCAGGGGCCAGGCCCACAACGTAATGCTTGGGTCAGGCTGGCTAAGACGGTGAGACATTACCCACGATGCAGAGCGCGTCCCCACTAAAGGCACTCCCATTCAAAAGAATCTAAACACTGTGTCCGGCAAACAATACCCTTCTTTGACTAGATTGCCAACCTCAAGTGAAATACCCACGCTAGAGGATGATCTCACCAAGATGGGAGGAGAAGGAGTGGGGCCTGGGGTCTATGAAGGGGCCCAAGTCAAGGGAAAGGATGGAAAGCAAGTAGGGATGATCCCAGGCTTGGCATCTGGATGCAGGGAGGAGGATCTGGCAGGTGGGAAGGATGCAAATGCCCTGGGGTCCCTGGGGTTAGCCCCTGGGTAGCCACAGTCTCCAGGCAGGCTGCCTTCACCTCTAACACTGACCTTGGAGCCCAAGGAGGCCTGGCCCTCGGCTAGAGGAAAAAGCCTCCCTGTACCGGGGGCACAAGAGGGCCTCTGGCTGGAGTCCCCTTTCCCTCTAAGTAGGGGGGTGGCATGGCCTAGATCAGCCTGAGGGGCTCTGGAGTCATCTTGATCTTCGCCTTGCCTCCCATCAAGATAAAAATCCAACTTCAAGCATTTCAGAGTGGCGCGAGTAGGGAAATGCAGGCGTGTGCCATGCACATCTCGGCGAGAGCCGGGGGCTTCCGACGGCTTCCTCTGGAGGCTTAAGCACACACTCTGCCCTTAATCTGAAGCCGGGTGCTGGGCTGCCCGCCGGCCTCTCCCTATCCCCCAGCTTCCATTCCTCCTCCACCCTCCATCCTCGCCTCATAGGCCTGGCCCTTTGACTGGGGGAGGGCAGCTGACCTGCCTACTTCAGCTTCTCCTTGCTCCCTTGTCCCCACACAGCCTAAGGGAGCTCGGCCCCCAGCGCACACACTCGGTGCCACAGCTGGGAAGCTAGAACCTTGGTAGATAACGTGTGGCCCTCGTATGGCCCGGGATGTGCTGCAGGTCCCTGCACAGTGGCCGTCTGGCCCAACACTCCTTTCCGTGGGGTCCAAGGAGAGCAGACCCCTCCTCTCACCCCACAGGAGCCCCCCCCAGAGTAAGCACATGTGTGCAAACACATGGGATGGGGCCAAGTGCCCTTCTCTCAGGACCCGCCAGCCCTATGTCCCCAGAGTCCAACCCCAGGGCTCTCATGGGGCCATTCATCACAGCCACTTTCGGCAGGCCCGGGCTCAAGGCACTGCTTCCACCTCCAGGAAAGCCTAGTCCTGACGAGTCAGAGGGGTGAAGCAGGGTCGAGGGGGGGGAATGCCATATTGAAGCTGCCAGATGCCCAGAACGTCCCAGAGCCATGGCAGAGCATGAGGGTGCATCCCTGAGCTGAGAGGGCCTAGTGAGATGGAGCCAGATGGCCCCCCAGCAGAGGGGCCTCCCCACAGTGGAGGGCGTCTGTTCCAGAAAGCACCAGCTCTTGGCTATGGATGGGGAGGCCTTTCCAACCCAACAGCCTACAGCTCCTCCAAGTGCCTCAGGGCCCAGGACCACCAAACAACCCTCCTCAGCTCTGGCCTACAGTTTCGGGGTGGCCTGGGCCCCAGAACTGCCTCTGCCTTTGGTCTCTGGAACCTGAGCCTCTGCCCCAAGGCTCCATGGTTTTTCTTGCTCTCCCCACACTCCTTCCATGGTTGCAGCCTAGGCTCAGCTTGAGCATCTCCTCTGGGACTGGCAGACCCCCCCCATTCCCCCCTACCCCAGGCCAGATTCACAAGATATGCCCCAGTCACACTGCCCACCTCACCTGACTGATCACCTCCCCCAAACCTGCAGGCATCCGCCCCAACCTCCAGCCTTCCAGTAGCAAGAGCCCAGGTGCCACACATTGCAAGGTAACCAGGAGAAGTCTCTGGAAACCCAAGCCAGGGATGAGGCTCCCACAGGCTCATCCAGGGAGTCCCATGATCCCTCACTGAGAAATCTGGCCATATTCAGTCCTTCCTCCCTTCCCGCTGCCAGTTGTAAGCACCAGGACCTCAGCTCCTCAGGCCCTCCCTCCCCCCAGCTCCTCTCAGCCACCCCCAACCTGCTCAGGTGAGCAGCCCTTGCATCCACTGCGCCATTCCACACCCCACACTTCTCAGTTGGCACTCGAGGCCCACCCTTCCTTTGCCAATCAGGTCTCTCTCTGGGGCCGCACACTTCTCTCCAGCTGAAAGGATCCAGCAGAGGCCTGGAATGCCACCCCTAGGAAGCCTTCCCTCCCAGCCCTGCTCTCCTTCAATGGCAGGTGCTCCACTAGAAATCTAGACCAGACCTCAGGTCCCAATCTCCCCAAGGGACCACACCTCCCAGCCACGCACTGCCTGGCACAGAGCTGCCGTGTGGTAGAACTGCCCCAGCTTGGCCTGGCAGCCCTGGCAGAGTGGCCACTTCCCTGAGACCGGGAATGAGCAGAGATCTCTACTGCTGACCCAGCGAAAATCAGGCCTCAGGGACTGATGGAAGTTGCAGTTCTGGACCCAAGAGCTGATGGGATTTGTAGTTCCTAAGCTTGCGATCTCCCACCTAACCACCCCCTCCCCACCCCAGACCCAATAAAGACTCATGGGAGCTGCAGTTACTCATCTCGCTAGGGAAAAGTCTCCCTCTTTCCTTCCCAGCATTCCTTGGCCCTGAACCCCAGGATCCCAAGCTAAGGACCTCACTACCTCGGAGGGCTGGGGCACCAAAGGGCCAGAAACTGCCTTGCCAGAGGGACAATTTGAGGGACCTGGAGGGGGGTGGCAGGAAGGCAGAGGAAACTATCGGGGAAAGGTAAGACCTGGCAGCAGGCCCCTTGGGCTCGGGCCAGGTGGCAGGGACAGTCGCCCCCCTCCCATCAGCGTCACCCGGGCCCGGGGCAGGGGAGGGGGGAAAGGCACTCACCAGTACTGGGCTCACACTCTTCCAGGTCCTCGTCATCACTTGGACACTCGGCAGAGGCCACCAAGAGGTCATCCGTGTTCTGTGGGCGAGAGGAGGGGGGGGTGGGGAAGAGGGTCCAGTGGTGGGTCAGTAGGCCCCAAAGCCACCTCTTGAGGTGTGGCACCACACGGGAGATGGGTCCTGGGCCAAGACACACACCCTGGTCTGTCCCCCAGTTCTCCCATTGCTGGCTGGGTGACCGAGAGCCTCCTGTTCCCCGCTGTGCAAAGACAGACTGGCCAGCGCCCACCCTGCGGGAGCTCCCACAGCTCCCAGGGATCAGTGAGACGGCACATGCTGTGTCTTTTATTTCCAGGAAGCCGGGGAGACTGGACACTAGCCCTGGGGGTGCAGGGCTGGAGCAAGGGGCCCAGGGCATCGGGGAGATGAGGCATGGGGGCCTCTGGAGACCAGCACAGGCAGAGAAGGGAAACAGGACCTGGGGTTGGGGGGTGGCTCTTGGCTCCAACCCCACTACCCCACCACCCTCATCTGTCTCCCAACCCCCTTCCCAGAGCCCGGAACCAGGCTGCACACAATAATTAGGGCTGTGGTTGCCATGGCAATGGGAGTCGACTTTGTCAGCATTTTCTTTCCTCCTGATTGCAAAGAAAGAGAATCCCCAAGATGAGTGAATGTAAGGGGGCGGGGAGGGGAGCGTGCTCAGAGTGTGTTAGGGAAGAGACCCAGGGAGGGAAACCCAGAGTCCGGGCAGGAATGGTGCCCAAGAGACTGCAGGGTGTGGGGAGAGGACTCCTGAAGGCCAGAGGTGGGAGGAGTCTGGGGTGGGGAGGGGTGGGGAGGGGTGAAAGGGTCACACGGTGCCTCTTCTTCACTCCCGCACCCCCACCCCACCCCCTGTCTTCGAAGACTGGTTTCCCTTGGGCATCCTTGCCCCTCCAGCAACCCCATCCTGTGGGGGCTTCTCCAGCACAGCTGTGACCCCGAAGGCCCCCACCTGCCTCTTCCACCTGGATGGTCAGTCCATCGCCCTCTCACTGAGACTGGGGGGCCCTTCTGGCCTCTGGGCACTGGGCATAGTCGGTGCCCAACCTTGGGGCTCCCTGCTCCCTGGGGCAAGGCCTGGCCTTTGGGGGCCCTAGCTTTTCTTGCCCGTGAAGGCAGAGGGGAAGGGGGTTCAGACTTCTCTCTCCCGCCTGCATGAGGCTGTCAGCCAGCGCCAGGCCCCCTACAGCACAGACTGGCAGGGTTGAGGGGACTTCAGGCTCAGGGAGTCATGCCCTCACTTACAGTGAAGGCCGGCGGAGTTGAGGCCCACCCCCCAGGCTGCCCCCAGACTTCTCCCCCACCCCAGCAGCATAGATTTCTCTCCAGACATAGAGGCTCAACAACCATGGGTGATGAGGGACAGCAGTAGCTCGGGCAGGGGCCTGGGGTGACTGAGTAAGGTCTACCATGCCAGGTGTGAGCCCTCCCTGGGCCACAATCATTGACGGCAACAACCAGAAAACTCAGCCGGGCTCCCGAGTTGCCTCCGTAAGTCACACACGCCCAGTTGGCTTTTGGCACCCGGAGAGCCAGGCCTATCCTGCCTCGTGAGAGCCTCATTCCCCAGGTTCGACCCCCCTCCGTGTACAAGAGAAGATCAACTCAAATCACTTGGGCTTGACCTGATCCAGAGAGAGCACCTGAGCAGGTGGGCAGGCAGTGCGGGGAGGGTAAAGCGCCAGGGAACCGTCTGCACCAACACCCCTCCAGCCCACAGGCATAGGGAACCCTGAGGCCCGCTGGGGGGGGAACATCTGCTCAAGGTCACAAAGAGAGGATGCGAGAAGGCAGTGGGCTTGGAGTCCCACTCTGAGGACACCGGCAATCCAGGAGACACTGTTCCGGGCCTCAGCCAGCCTCCAGAGAGCGGCGGCCACCCCCAGCTGAGCCTCTGGCCCCTCCAGGGCTGTCTCCTAGGTGCCCAGCCGGAGCAACGCCATCCTGGTTGTACCCATCTCTCACTCGCTGCCCACACCCCACGGGGCCTGGCCTCCGGTATGTGGCAGGCAGACGGGCCATTCCACCTTCACTCCAGTCCAGACTTCCTCCCTCTTGGGCAGTCTTCCCTGGTCTAGCTGGAGTACCAAACTCCCCCTTACCACTGGGCCTGACCCGTAGAAACAGTGACCACCTTCCCACGTACAACATCCCTGGTCACCAGGGCAAAGGCCACTTCGTGAGCGAGGCCTTTCCCACCTCACCTGAACCATCGCCATGACAAGGATGCAAAGGAGCCTCCAGGACCCCTCCAGTCCCCTCAGACCCTCCCCTGGGTGCCACAGTTGCTACGTAGACATCAGCCCTTTCCCCCACCCGAGGCCTCGCTCCTCGTCCATCAGCCCCAAGGGTCCTCACCTGCGTGGTGCTGTCCCTCAGCGTGGGGGAGCGGCCCCGGCGTGTGGTCGTAGTAGCCATGGTGGTGGTGGTCTCCATGATGGTGGTGGCCATGTCGGCCAGCAGGGTGGTGGCCGTGGTCTCCGCACTGAGCAGCACGGACGGCCCCTCCCCCACCAGGCGCAGGTGGCCCTCAGTCCGCACATTGGGGTCGCTCTCGGCGGCCAGCGCCAGCACCTTGAGCCCATTGTAGTAGAGGCCGGACACCTGGCCCTGGAAAGGGCGGCCCTGGTCCCGGCCCCCGATCTTGATGGCAGCCTGGCTGTTGAAGATGGTCAGCTGGCGGCCTGGTGGGGAGGGGAGTTGGTGGGGGCGGCGGACAGAGGAGGGGCAGGCAGTGGGGAGAGATCAGAGAGGGGTGGGGAGAACAGAGGGAAGCCGAGGGAAGGAAAGAGGGTGGAGAGGGAAACCAGCAAGGGGGCGGGGGGTTGGAGAAACGGGGGGGGGCGGACACCAAAGGGAAAGTCCTCGTCAGCCACAGCCCCCAGCCCAGCCAGGTGGGGACCCCAGAGGGGGAGGGGCCCTGAGGCACACATGGGCTGGGAAAGGGAGCCCAGCTCCCCCCTCTCCCCGCCATGCTCGTGCCTCTGACCCTCCCATCCCCCTCTCCTGCTCCAGGGGCATCGCTCCCCCTTCTTTCCCGTCCCTCAATTTGATCCCCATCTTCTCCCTCTGCTTCCCCAAACGTCCCACGCCCGGTGTCGTCCCCCCCGCCCCGAGCCATGGAGCCCTCAGAAGCAGCAGACAGAGGAGACAAAGAGGCGGAGACAGAGAAAGGGACTGGCAGGCTGAGTGGTCAGTGCATGTCAAAGCAGAGAGGGAGGCGACACCCACGTGCCGGAGGTAAGGACGGTGCGCGGGAGGAGGGCTGGCGTGCGTGAGGGTGGGAGCAGCCACGCAGACCCCACTCTGCCCTGCCAGCCACCACCAAGCCCTCTGACCTCTGGCCAGGCTCCCCTCTCGCCTCCCCCCTCCAAGGCCCAGGGGGGGACCTGACCCTGGAGAGCAGAGGCCTTCCTCCCCGCCAGGATGTGCAAGCACAGAGATGGAAAACGTTAAAGGGACCTTGCTTCGCTCGCTGACAGCCAAAAAAAAAACCCGCTCCAGCTCCAATCTCGCTCCCCATTCAGCAGTGACACCTGAGCATTCCCACCTGGGTGGGGTTCGGCTGTTCTTTTTGGTTTTAGTGGATCTGGGGGTCGGTTTAACCCTCTGAGTTTGTTGCTTTGGTTTGGTTTTTAGAAAAGATATTTATTATGTTTAAGTTTAGATTTAACTTTGGTTTTTGGTGTTGCTTATTTGGGGAGGAGGAGGGGCAGGGGAGCTACTCCATTGCCCCCCCGCTCCCCTGGACCTTCCCTGCGGGCGCTGGGGGGTTTAAGACCTGGCTTAGCCCTCGTTAGCCTCTGGTTAGTGCCTCGTTAAAGATCTGGTTTAGAGTTAGGTGTCTGTACTCCCTGCCCCCAAAACCTGGGCTGAGGATAGTCCAGCTTGTGAAACCCACACCCTCTTTGGAAACACAGGTTCCCTGGGCCACCCAACCATCTGTCCGACCGTCCACGGCGAGGAATCTGCTCAGCCCTCTGCTCAGCCTCTCCCCACCCCCCGGTGCCCTCTCGCTGCCCAACTCCTTACTCTGCCCTGGAGCAGTGGCACCCTCTTCCAAATGGGGGACCCGGAGCCCACAAAAGCTGAGCACTAGTTAGTAGCAACTGGAATGCCAGACCCAGAGAGGTGCCTGAGGACGACCACGTCCAGAGATTACTCCCAGGCACAAGAATTAGGAGACGGTCAAGAGGAGAAGGCTCATCCAGTCGTTGAACACGTTGGGTAAGCAAATGCTTCACAATTAAACGACAGGTTTCCTTCTCACAGGACTTCTCAGTGTCTTTATTAAACCAACGTCCACGTGCATCTCCAAGAGGAAGAAATGGGATTTGGCGTTTCCCAAGCTCCTTTTACCACAGTCTCTTTCTTGGGAAGCCTCTCATGGGACTTGCGCTTCACCGGCCATGTTTTGGAACGGGAAACGGACTCATTCGATAAATATTTATTGAGCACCTACCACATGCCAGATGCTGACAGTAAAATAATCCCTCCAAGAGGGCCCAGATCTCATTCTTAAAAACTTTCCTGCTCTTTACTTCATCTCAGTCTCCCAGCAGCCCCCAGGAGACAGGCTGAGGAGGCTGACCCCTCATGAGAAAGGGGAAGTGAGCTCCTCCTCCCACACCCTGGGAAATACCAGAGCATTTTGCCCCATCTTTCACTTTCCAGAAGCGGAAGTAGAGGTCTAAAGAGAGGGAATGGCTCCGCAGCTAGGGAAGGAGCACTGGGGTTCACCCTCACCTGAATGCAAAGCCCCACCACCCCTCCCCCACCAAGGGCCTGTCCAGCTCTGCCTACCTGGGGTCACAAGTTGTCCCAGCCTCAGCCCAAGCTGCTCCCTTGGCCTCTCTAATTCTGGGAGAGGGAGTTGGGTAATGGAGAGGAAGCTACACAGGTTAGCGAACTTGGCCCCTGCAGCCCCGCCCGCAATGAACTCCTCAAAGGGTTAAAGTTCGCCCCGCTGGAGAGAGCAGCCCAGTGCGGCTGGGGGCTGTAGGTTTTAGCGATGTCTGTTACAGTCCCTTTAACTTTTTGTCCTGTTATGGATTTATCACATCTGGTTATCAACATGTTTAGTCCCCGCTGGCTGTGTGGGGGGCTGGAGGTGACATTTGGGGGTTTTAGCTGGGGCAGGCCCCAGTGGACATTTAAAAGCACAGTTATCAGCTGGTTAGGTGGGGATTTAACAGTGCTACTTCCCCCCTAGAGTTTAGCCTTAGAGGTACAGAGCTCGCCCCCTCTCCGAAGGGAATGGGATGGCTTTGCCCTTGGCCCCAACTTCCCTTGGTGACAAGTGGCCTTCTCCCTCACACCCAGCAGTGCCTCGCCACTCAGCTAGCCTGTTGTCTTCCTCATCCGCTCAGCCAGCACAGAAAGCCCTGTGGGACGGCTGCCCCTGCCCCTACCTCCTAGTTTCTCCCTACCCCCGCCTCTGTTTACTTCTGAGAGGCCTTCCAGACCAACGTGGGCCCATTCCGGAGACAGTGTCCCACAGCCACTCCCTTGGGTGGGTGGGTGGGGGTCTTTCCTGTAGGATGTGAGCCCCCCCCCCCCGGCTGCTTCCCTTTCCTCCTAGGATGACCCCGGTGAAGCCTTCCCACCCTCCTTTTGGATCCTAGGATCAGCACTTCCTGCTTTTCAGCGCCCTGTGGCCCTCTGGCCGGCCCTTCACCAAACCCTGCTCCCGATCTACACTCCAGCCTGCTTTACCAGGTTCGGGAGGCTCAGCTCGTGGATTATCCTAGCCCATCCCAGCTTTGGAAAGAGCCCAAGGACTCTCCCTCTTCTGAGCAAAACCCAGCCCTGTCCAGAACCACCACTCTACTTCTAAAGACACAGATGATTGACTCCAGAGAGGAAAGGGGAGGGCATCCCGGGGGGGGGGGGATCATCAGGCCTCCGCTAAGGGGCGGGCGACGGGGAAGGCACGGTGGGGAAAGAGAGAGCTCTGCACCTTTAAGATAGTGTTTTTAAAGTTAATTAATTAATTAATTAATTAATTCTGGTTAATTACCTTTGTCGAGCAGCCACTCATCTACTACTCGACCAAGCCGGTAGGGGATTCTCTGTCTAGCAATCGCCAGGCGCTCGTTATCAAAGTTTCCTTGGAAAAGTTTAGAAAGACAGTAGGTTTCTCAGGCGGCGAAGTCCAAAGGAGTTAGCAAAGTAATTACGCGTTTCTCAGGAGATTCAGAGTAAAGCAGCAACATCCACCGGAAAGGGGGGAAGGTCCACCCAAGGCGGGAGAAGAAGCACTGGGTCCCTCATCCTCCCGTCCCCTCCCTAGGCTCCCGTCCAGAGCCAGCCCCACCCGAGGGGCACGAGTGACCCAAAGAAAAAGACAGGGACATAGAAGAAAAGGAAAGGGGATGGAAAAGAAAAGGCAGCTGGAAGGTCAAAGGTCAGAGGTTAAACAGGTTTATCTGTGCTCAAAGCTGCTGTGCCCACCTTCCTTCCCCATCCCAGAGCGGGGCAGTGAGGGCAGGGAGGGGCATTTAGCGGGTTTAAGTTAGGGGTGGGGGGGCCTCAGTGGCCCAGCTGGTTACTGAGTTTAGAGGGTGGTTTAGAACTGGGAGGGGTGGGTTAAGTGGGGTTTATGCGGCATTTAGGGGGTGGCCCGGCACTCACACTTAACAGTGACATTTAAACCACTTCTGCAGGCACTCAGCTCCCTTTCCCTTCCGTGCTCAGCTCCCCGAGGCGCCTTCTTTGCCAGCTCACCCCACACCCCTACCCCACCGGCTTCCACCCCCATCCCGCCCTCCCCAAAGGGCCCACTGCTGCAGCCTTGCCACCCTGCCCACCATCCCTACAGGTCACCCTGCCACCCCGCCACCCCACCCACCCCTCTGGCCTTCTCCACCTCTCCTGCAGCCATCTCTTCCATGCCTCTAAGCCTGCCCTGGTTCCCTCCCCACAGGCCCTCCCAAGCCCCTCTGCCTGGCGGCTCTCTCCCCACATCTCAGCCCCATTCCAAGACCCTCAGACTCAGTTCTGCTCTGGTCCCCTTTTGTCTCTGCCCTGGGGACCCAGCCCAGCTCCTGACCCCCGTCACTCACTAGCCTTTCTCCTTCAGGCTCCTCCCCCTGATCCCTAACCCCATCCCTTCTCCACCCTGCCTGTCCCTCTCTCCACTCATCATTGTCCAGGCCCTGGAGATGGGGAGCAAAGATTGTGTGTGTGTGTGTGTGTGCGCGCGCGCGTGCACGCGCGCGCCTATATGAGAGAAACAGACTTTGGAAAGGGGTTTGTCAGTGTGCCTAGGAGTTCGGTGTGCTCCTCCCCACACCTACAGGCTGTGGATTACCCTAGTCTGTAGCAGTGGAAATGGAAATGATTTCCTTTGGGGGAATCTGGCCACTCTTCCCATTGAAACCATGTACAGTGTTCAATAACGTGTTGGCGGGGGCCGGGGGGGGCGGCTTTCCTGCTCCTCTCACACTGCATGGCTGTGTGTGCCCCCAGTGAGGCCTGGGCCCGGGCCTGCCGTGGACATCTCCTGTGAACGAGCACACAACGTGTCCATGTGTGTGCATGGCTGCTGCCTCCCTAGGTGCTTCTGACACAACAAGACCTTGCCTTCCCTATGGATTTAGGTCACTAGTGTTTCAGTAAAAATGGATTGTTCACTCGTTTAGTCACTCAGCAAACATTTCTTAAGTGCCTGCTCTACTCCTCGTGCTGGGTTTTGGAGATGCAAAGACGAAGGCTTGGCCCTTACACGCAGAGTGCCCCAGCCAAGCAGGGGAGACTGGCAAGTGACCAGTAGTGTTCTTTGTTCTGCTAGAGGTGGCACAGGGCATCCCAGCCTGGGGATGGGAGTGAGAGGGACCAAGAAGACACTGGAGGAGAGGTGAAGGGGCCAGAAGGGAGTCAGGCACAGCAAGGAGGGGGGGAGCACATATGCAGAGCCAGAGACTCAGGAGGGCAGTAGGCTCTCAGAGACCTCCCGTGTGTGTCTGTGTAGAGGTCCCTGTGTGTGTCCCAAGAGGAAGGGAAGAATGCACATCTGCCTCATTGGAGCACATAACAGTTCTAACCAAAGTTCTGTTTGTTGAGCACTTCCTCTATGCCATGCCTTTCTAGTGCTTTCTTGGGTTATTACTACGAGGTGCCTATTATCCCTATCTTTCAGAGGTGGAGACAGATTCACAGAGGCCGGATGACTCACCCAAGGCCACATGACTTGTCAGTAGGAGGTCCAGGATTAAAAGGACTCGGAGCCTAAGAGCTGAGTCTCTGTGCTCCTGAAAAGTCTGGAGTCCCAGGGTCTGGGCCAGTGCAGCCTGCCAACCCAGCCCGCCAGTGGGGCTCAGGATGACACTTGGCTTTCGTCGACCATCTGCCCTCACACTGCACACAGGCAGGCACCAGGTTACCCTGGTTTGTGAGAGAGGGGGCACCCACCAGTCTTCCCCACCCCCCGCCAGGGGTCCCTGAGCAGAAGAGAGCAGGCATGAACCCTCCAACCTGGCCCCTGGCCTGAGGGGCCCCAAGGGAAGAAGCTCTGGACCCAAGTCATGGCTTGATGTGGTGAAGCCTTCATGTCCTCCCAGTACAACCCTGTTCAGCCCAGGCTGGAGTCCTCACTCTTACCACACTGTTGCCCTCACATGTGTGTGGCTGAGAGAGAGAGAAGACTGATGGCCGTAGGGTAATCACACCCGCGCAGCCTAGCCTGTGCACCTGCAACACTTCACACAGGAGTATTTGTGTGCTTCAGCGACCCCACACAGGCCCAGAACCTGGGTGTAGGCTGGCGTCCCTCGGCAGGGCTCGTGTTTCTCCTATGTCAGTCTGACCTCACAAGTCTTTGCTGTCATCCATGTGTCTGTGGTTGGCCTGTATGTCTGTTAGCCTCTGTATTTCTTGGCGGGGGCGTGGGGGGGGGGGGGGGGAATGTGGTTCTCTTTAGCTCCAGAGAGGGTTGGGCACAAGCCTGCACGATGGGGAGCTGGGAACCTACACTGGCATCTTTCTGCCAGTGTAAGTGGGCCCATGAGGGTTTGCACACCTGCACCTTTCCCTGTCCTTCTGCCCACACCCTTCTCAGCCAGCGTGGGGCAGCCTCTCTGCCCCCGCCTTGGCTATAACTTCTGCCTCAGAGAGGGACTGAGGCTGCAGATGCTCTCCCTTCTCCTCAGTCGCCCCCATGTGTGACTGTGCGGGGTCGCTCAGCCAGATCATACCTCCGCAAGTCTGCATTTCTGCAGTTCTCCCCTGCAGTGGCTCCCTTCCCCTCCCCCTTGGTCTCCCGCGCTGGGCTCTCCTCCTCTCCTTCCCAAGGCTCTGTCCACCTCTTCTCCCACTGGCTGGGTCCGTGCCACAGCATCTCCATATATCTCTCTGCATCATTCCGGGGCTGCCTCCGTCTCTGCTACTGTCCCAGTGACTGTTCCTATATCTCTCCAACGCCCCTCCCCTGGCTCCCCCGCACTCTGAGGCTCTTTCTCTGCCTCCTCATCTCTCCTATGTCCTCACCCCCTCCCTCCCCTTGCTCCTCAGACCTTGGTTTGTCCTGGGCCACCACAGCCATCACACTGTGTGACGCTATCGAACGGGGTCCGTTTGCATCCCCGTTCCCCCCCCCCCCCAGACTGCGAGCTCCCTGCAAGCAGAGGCTGTGTCCTGTTCCCCCGTGTCGCCCGAGCCTGACACCTGGGAGGCTCCCTGTAAAGGTCTGTGGAATGCGCTTGCACCCCTGTCACTTGGCATTCTCTCCCTTTCACCATGTCCCTTATTCCCTGAGACATTGGGGTTCCTTTTCTCTGAGCCTCTGTGGTCACTTCTCTTCCTTTATCTAGACCTCCTGATATGGATCAGATTTGCTCTTTGTAAAGACTTTGGTTCATTCCTTGGTTCCGTCCTTGGGATCAGGCCTGCCTCCTCGCAGAGATATATTTTGGGTTACTGATGGATCTCTCTTTGGTTTCTGCATCTGCCTCATTTCGGCCTGTCCCTCAATTCTAAGCCCATCCTTTGCTCGGTCGCGTCAGACTCTCCCTACTTCTACCCCTCTTCCTCTTCTCTTCTCCCCCACCGCCACCTGGACCCTGGCCTTGCAGCCTTCCCAGCTCAGCTCCGCCCCCTCCCTAGCCCACAGACTCCCACCACCGAGGTCTAGCTCCGCCTTGCGAATGCCCACGTTTCTCTTTAGCCACGTCCCCACTAGCCTTGCCTTTCGCGCGGCCTCACCCCAGCCCCAGCACGGCCGGAAACCTCCCCGCTTAGCCCCGCCCCCGGCGCAGGCAGCGATCCTATCAGAGGCCGCCTTGCCCGCCCCGCCCCGCCCGCAGCACCTCCTCCGCGCGCCGGCGCCGCCTACCTGCCGGGTACCGCTCATTGACCGGCCAGCTGTCCACCTGCAGGGTGGCGTTGCCGCCACTTCGAGTGAAGCGCACCACGTGGTATTTGCCGTCGCTCACGATGGCGTTGGGCTCATCGATGGTAATGTCGTCCGTGCCCACGTTAAAGATCACCCCCACGGTGCCCTGGTCCTGGGGACAAGGAGGTAGAGGTCAGCAACCGGGAGGGAATAAGAGTTCACTCTTTCTAGAACTCCACCTGTGACCACTGGCCCAAATCTGTGGCACTTCACAGCTTTAAAATGCACATCTCCTCATCATGCCTTTGCTGACCTTCTCACCGGCCCAAAGAGGTGGGCAGGCTTGCCTCTCTCTCACTCGCAGGCATGGGAGTGACCTGAGATTCAGAGGGGTACAGACCACAGTGGGGCGCAGAACCTGGCCCGGGAGCACTTCCACTACCCACACCTGCCTCTTGCCTTTTGGTTCGTTCAGAATATTCACAAATGTTTACAGGGCACCCATTCTGTGCAAGGGCCACTGAGTCCAGGCCCCAGACATGGTGGCCAGGACCAAGCTGGGGGCCAATGGAAGCTCAGAGGGTGGGGGATTGCCTAGGGCATGACCAACACTTTCCTCCGTGCCAGAGGAAAGACTGGCCTCCCTGCTCCCTACCACCCCCAGCCTCGAGCCTCCCCTTCTCTGCATGCTCAGCACGGAGCAGGTCCCCCGGGGCCCCTGCACTAGGGCATCAACATGCCTCTCCTGGCATCTCATCAGGCCCCATGTTGGTCAGGCCTGAGTGTGAAATCATAGGAGTGGAGGTGGGGGTCTGAACTCTGTATTTTGGGGGGTGATGAGTATGGAAAGAGATCAGGGAGACAAACCAAAGTAGACTTATTAAGGAAAGATGAGTGTGTGGGTATAAGGGGTAGACAATGGGGCTGGGAGCTGAGGAAGGACACAAGAAGAAAGTGAGAGACCCAGGCCTGGAGAAGGGCAGCAAAGAGTCAGTCTCAGCAACCTCTGGGACCTAGGGTCCCAGGCTCTGGACACGGCAGGGCCTGGGGACCCCTGCAGAGGCCACCCAGGATCCAGCCCCAGAAGAGTTCTGTTGATGGCACTGGTGTGAGAGGGAGCACTTCACCAAACCCCTAAAATGTGCCGGGCCCTCTGTTCTCTTCATCCCCACAGCAACCCTCTCAGGAAGCTGATGGCATTCCCAGCTCACCAAGGAGAAAACTGAGGCTCAGGGAGGTTGAGTAACACCCCCAAATCCACATCACAGGAAAAGAACCCCAGATTTGAACCCCAGTTGGCCTGACTCCAAAGCCAGTGCGCTCTCCCTCCCACTGGTCTAGGGAGACACTGACTCAAACTGCAGGGGGATGATCTGAGCAGCTACTAAGGCCAATCCCCCTGAGAGACCAAAGACACCTACCTAAAGAAGCCAGCGGAAGGCCCAGGAGGCCCTAAACCTGAGCTCCCATTCCATTCCCATGCACTTGCCAGCAGCACTTGAGCTCAGCCTCCTGAGTCCCCCACAGCCCTCCTCCTGCACAGGACAGACACCCACACAGGCTCACTTAGGCCCCCTGAATCACACACAGTCATAGGACCCAGATCATCAGAGAATATACACACTCACACAGGTCTTCCTGAAAGACTACCCCAGTCCAGCCTGGGCATGGGGGCCAATCACCTGCCAACTCCTCGTCCAACAGAGCCAAGCAGCTTGGTGGCACTGAGGATGGGATGTGGGGCTCACAGATGGGGCGGAGACTGGGGTTTTGCAGAGAGCAGGGCACAGGGTGGGCAGCTGTGGCTCACTTGGGAGATCCAGGCCTGATCCCTTCCCACCTTGTGGGCCCAGTTCTCCCCCTCCTAGAACCTGGGAAAGCCCCCGCCACACACACACACACACACACACACACACACACACGCACGCACACATGCACACACAGAGTCATACACGCATGCAGCATCTCTCCTCAGGTGCAGTAAAGCAGGGAAACTGAGGCCGGGCTCGCCTAACAAAGAGTATTCACAAGCCCCACGCACCCACCACCCACAGACTGACAACATCCCAGGGAGACTGGATGATCACATGCTCCCCACACACATGAGGGAAACAGCCGATGCTCCTCAGTACTATTATTAGCGATAACATCGCCCGGAATAGCATCAGCCCCTTGGACGCCTCAGGGGCTTTCTCCCTGTGAGGCTCAGGCCAGACGGTGATGGTGGTCAAGGAGTAGAGGCCACCTGGGAGCTGGGGTGCCAGGGAGGCCTGCGGGGGTGACTGGAAGGCAGGACACCCGGGTTTCCTAGGAGGCAACCGAGCTCAGAGCCATACACTCCGGGGGAGAGGCAGCTCCCAGAGCTGCTCCCGACGTGAAGTCAGTTGTCACTTCTGTTAAAGTCATTAATTCCTAATTCCCCAATTACCTCATTAGGCGGCAGTGGGGAGAACGCGGCCGCTCCTACAGCAAATAATTATGGGAGTCAAAATTAATTTGGCAAAGTGGAGCGACGCTTTATTAGAAACGTCAAATTGCTTTTCTCTTATTTTGCTGCCGCCTCCCCACTCTCCGAGAGCTGCTAGTGACGCACGGCAGCAGGAGCTGGTGTGTTCCCAGGAGAGGGGTGGCTTGGGGGCTGTCCCCCAGGGGCTTCAGCCCGGCTGGCCCGCCCGGTGCTCCCCTCAGAGCTTGCCTCTCCCAGGGCTCCCACCCTTCCTCCGGGGCCCCAGCCCTCACCTGGCGCCCCACCCCTGCCCTCTGCAGCACCAGGCACCAGGCCTCATCCCTCCATAACCCTGAGCCAGGTGAGGCCTGGGGGAATGCTGGGAGAGAAGAGGGGGTCCCTTCTCCCTGCACCCCGAGCCCCTACACTATCTCTTCAGCGCTGGGGAGCCCTGTTTCCTAAACCCACAGACACAAAGACCCGCAGGAGTGGTCAACCAGGCAGACGCAGAGCACAGGCAGATCTGGAATCCCAGACGCTCGGGGTGGGAGCAGATACTGAGCGCTTCCTGCAGGCTGGGCCGTGTTCTGAGGGCTTGACACACACAGTCTCACTGGAACCTCACAGACTCCCTTTGTCCTTTTACCGTCCTGTTATCGGGCCACTCCACAGATGAGGACGCTGAGGCTCATGGGGTGAATGCACGAGGCCAGAGCAAGGAAGTGACAGAGCTGAGACTCAAACCCAGGCCGTCAGCTCCGAAGCCATGGCTGGCCTCTCGCGAGTGTGTGGAGACAGAGCACAGCCCTCATTCCCAGACAGGGCCACGGGGACACAGCCACACCTGCCACAAGGCCAGGAGACTGGAGTAACAGCACATACCACTCTGCTGGGGAAGGCACGTGGGGAGCAGCACACGTGATCAGGGGCCGCGAGCCTCTCCACCACAGTCCCTCGAGGTCCCACTGTCAGTCCTGACACCAACAGAGTATGCTCCCAGCCCCACACGCCACACACACTCATGTGTGCCGTCCACAGCCACAGTCTCTCACCTCCAGCCGGAGACACTGTCCCACTCACACAGGCACGAACCTTCCAGGCCTTCTCCCCCGGCGACTCGCCCCTCCGCACCCCTTTCCAACACACTTCTCTGCCTGGCCTCCCCCGTCCAGCACCCAGCAGCTGCGGCTCCCACTCCAGCTCCACTCCGCCCACGGGACATCTCACACCTCCTGCCTTTGCTCCCTGGTGTTGGGGGAGGTGTGTGCAGCCAGGGGACCCTGAAAAGTTGATGTGCATGGAGGGGCCAGTTGCCATAGTCCAGTCAGATGGGGAGAGGCCAGAGCTCAAACATACTTCCTTGGTCCCCCTAAAGCCCAGGACCCCCTCACCCAGATCTTTCCAGCACAGAGAGCCTGGCCACCTTGCTCGATCCCCCGGCTCAGGGGGTCCTGGTCATGGTCAGCACCTGGGATGTGGGCAGCAGGGGACTTACAGGTGGAAGTGGAGATTGAGGTCAGAGGCCCAGGGGTTAAAACCATGAGAAGGGGACAGGGAAGAGGCTAAGTGCAGAAATGAAACAGAGCAAGGCCAGAGGCCACTGGGAAGGGTATGGGGTAGGACTAGAGATGGAGAAAGGGTCAAGGAAGGAAAGGGGCTACCTGAAGACCAGAGTTAAGATGAAAACTGAGAGGAGCTGTGAATATGGTGGTGAGGGGGTTGCGGCATGGTATGACAGGGGGGTATGGCAGGTAGGACATATGGTGGGCAGGGGGTATGATGGGTAGGGCATATGGCGGGTAGGGGGTATGGAGGGTAGGGGGTATGGAGGTAGGGGGTATGGAGGGTAGGGGGTATGGAGAGTAGGGGGTATGGCGGGTAGGAGGTATGGAGGGTAGGGCGTATGGAGGGTAGGGGGTATGGAGATAGGGGGCATGGGGGGTAGGGGGTATGGAGGTAGGGGGTATGGAGGTAGGGGGTATGGAAGGTAGGGGGTATGGCGGGTAGGGGCTATGGAGGGTAGGGGGTATGGGGGGTAGGGGGTATGGCGGGTGGAGGGTATGGTGAGCAGGGGGATATGCAATAACGGTGGATATGGCAGGTAGTGTGGAAGGGGGGGTATGAAGTGTAAGGGGGCAGGGGTGTGGCGGGGAGGGCAGATAGGGGTAGGTCTGGCAGGAGGCCCAGAGGGAGGCACTGGAAAGCGGCAGAGGTTGAGGCGGGAGGATGGGCAAAAAAGGGCAGAGCCAAGTGGGCCAGGAGGTCCAGGTGGGGATGTGGTGCTGGACCAAGAAGTTAGAGAGGAGGGAGCTTGACAGAGAGGGTACAGGGGAGGCAGGGTAAAGGGGCCACTGGGAGGGCAAAGGTCATGGGAGCGGCGGTTAAGGGCAGAGCAGAGGCAGCCGCAGATCTACAATCAAGGTGAGGAGCAGGCACGGACTGCGCCGGGGCCAGGAGATGTGAAGATGCAGAGCGAGATAGGGATGCCTGGGCGGCTCAGTCGTTAAGCGTCTGCCTTCGGCTCTGGTCATGGTCCCAGGGTCCTGGGATCGAGCCCTGCATCAGGCTCCCTGCTCAGTGAAGAGCCTGCTTCTCCCTCTCCCACTCCCCCTGCTTGTGTTCCCTCTCTCGCTGTCTCTCTCTGTTGAATAAATAAATAAAATCTTTTAAAAAAAAAAAGAAGCAGAGCGAGAATCTGGGCAGGACACAGCGGGCTGCCCTGGGTGGTCTAGCAGTGAGCAGATGGTGGCCCAGGCCAGTCACCATGTGGGGACACTTCATGGGCTGCAAGAAGGCCCAGAAGGCTCAAGGAGGCCCTGTGTTCAGGAAGGTCAGAAGACACAGATGGAGTCAGGGAGTGGGGAGTGCAGAGCTTCCAATCAGCTAGGGTGGCTGTGGGAATGCATGACAGGAAGGGAGTGGGCCTCAGAGGCAGAGCCACGCAGAGGGACCTCCAGGAATTGGGGAACACATGAGGGAAGATTCGAGGTGCTGATCCCATGGTAATGAGAGGACTGAGTAGATTTGGGGTAGGAAGACCGGGGGTGGCGGGGGGCTGGGGGCAGGGGCCAGGGCCCTAGATCCTTACGATGTGCAGCTGTAAGTAGTCTCCGAGGCCGGAGGCACTGTCCACCCGCACCAGTACAGCACTCCGCTGGTGCGTGCTGAAGCCCACGGCCAGGCGGTCCATCCTCGTGCTGGGCCGGTCATTGGGGGGCCACGTGTAGGTGATGAGCGCTCCCCCCTTCCCAAAGATGTATGTGGTCCCGGCTGCAAAGAGAAGGGAGAAAGGGAGATATGACTTCAGGCGAGCGAAATTGGCAGGCCCTAGGGGCTGCAACCAGAGCACAGGGCCACCGGGCTTGGGCTGTGATGCCCACAGCAGCCGCCAGCCCTGCAGTCCTCGGGAACAGTTGGCGGGCGGGTGCCCGGTGAGAGCCTGTGCACGCGCACAGACAGATGTAGCTACCTCATCAAGAATTCTAGCTGTAATTACAGCAACACAGAGAGGCAACAGAGAGAGTGACACACAGAGAGAAGCCAGAGAGAGGCTGCAAGGGGATCGAGAAGTGTACGGAGGGCAGGTGGGCCCCGGGGGGCCTGGGCCCCACCAACTCAACTTCTCTCGGCGCTGGCGGAGGTGACAGATTAGAGGTGTGGGCTTCCGTGGGGCCAAGCTGAGCAGGCACCAAGGCGAAAGGAGCCCCAGGCGATGGCGAGAGGCGCAGGGGCTGTGTTCAGCTCTGACTCATAGCCCACAGCCTGGCATCCTTCCACCACCTGCCCCCAGCCCCTCCCAAACCCCTGGAAATCCTGGTCCCAGTTTGCCTAGGACTCCTTGCTTCCACTCCCAATTAGGGGGCTGCCTGGGTCCCAAAAGAGGGGGTGCCTGGAGCCTTACCCGGCAAAGAAGAAACAGGTATTGGGGCTGGGGGTGTGGTGGTATGGAATAGAGACTGACAGAGGAGGAAGGAGGCAGAGAGACAGATGGACAGAGAGGGACAGAGAGGGGTGTAGGTGAGGGAAAGTGGGAGAATGGGAGCCAGAGATGAAGGCTCCCTCTCCCCGCCCTCCCCCACCCCACCCTCCCTCCCCCTCTTAGTCTCCTCCATCCGGCTGCCTGCCGGGGGCGGGTGTGAGGTCCCTAACGATCTCAGCCCCAAAATAAACCCCATTAGTCGCCATGTTCCCTCCTGTGGCTGACTGGGCTCCCGGGGGGGGGGGGTGGGGGGCAGACGGATGGCTGGGGTGGGAGCTGGGGGCTGGTCACCCAGTTTCCGGGACGGGAGCCTTGTCTGGGAAGCCTTAGAGGACTAGTACTCCGGGGCCTTCAGAGAAGGAAGAGAACAATCTTGCATTCTTTAGAACATAAATGGAGCAGATGAGATTCATCAAATGCTTAATTAAATAATTAGCCACTAACAACTCCTCTCAAAGCACTTCTTGGGGGAGAGGGGTTCAGGGGAGGACTTACCCAGAGAGAGAAAGGCAGGTGGGGCCTGAGGGCAAAAGCCTGAAGTAGCCTGGGAGGAAAGTGGGGCCTCCAGGTAGGAAGGAAAGCCCTGGGGTCAGGGAGCTAGGAGCCGGTAAGGCGAGGTCAGAGGAGGGCCTGAGGCATGAGACACTTCGGAGGCGTGCAAACCCGCTCCATGTTTGCTCCATCAAGAGGGCAGCCCAGCTGGTAACGCTAAGGCCCCTCAAGCACCTTGGGGCATCTCTCACCTCAGGGACTAGGAGCCCCAGTGCAGTTTGGACCAGCAGGGATGAGGGGGCTCTACCCCAGGAAGCTCCCAGGCCCCTGAAGGAGGGAGGCGCCATCTGCACCACCTGCAGGCCCAGGACAGAGCTGAGAAGGGAAGGCTGCTGCCTGGGTCCCAGAGAGGCAGTGAGGCCAGCAGGGCTTGGGGGGGGGGGGGGCGGTGGCAGGAGCTGTTCTCCAGAGCACTTGTCATCAATGCCTTCTAACTCCCCAGATGTGGCCAGAGAGGAGAGATGACCCCGGCCCCAGAGCAGGGCAGGGCAGGCAGGAAAGAACCACCCTGATGCCTAATAACTGGCAGACAGAGGGAGCTTGGCTCTGCCCCCTGCCCCCCAGACCAGGTATCCTTTATACCTGGGGGCCCTGGAGGCCCCATGGTGAGGGCAGAACCCTCAGGATGGGGGACCCAGGATTAGGGAGGAGAGCTGGCCGGTGGTAGGGTACACAGTGAGCCACACCCCCACCCCAGGCGGGTCACTTGCCCGGAAGGGGCTGGGCCTGCAAGCTGGGAGCAGGGTAGGCCTCAGCCAGGAGCAGCCTCTCCACTCCCAACACTGCAGCACTCTGGAAAACCGGCTGTTTCCATGGCAACCATAATACCCAGGGTCCTCCCTTCCCCCCCCCCGCCACTCACAAGCTGTAAGTCCCAATTTGGGGCGTGGGGAGGGCCAGGGGCACTGAGATTGCTGACCTTCCTCCACACAGCCCCTCTCCCAGCCTCCCTGACCAGAGACTGCTGCCTCTTCACCTCATGGGCTTCAGGGTCCCCCAAGTCAGACGCAGGAGGGGCTCATTGGGTTCCTTGGTACCTCAGACCCGCCAAACCCTATGTCCGTGGGACCTGCTTCCAAACCTCCCAGGTCTAAGGGAAAGGAAGCCCTTCCTCCTCACTTCCACACCCCAGGAACCCAGACAGCACATCGCCTTGGAGAGAACCCTGCCTGAGCCCAGAGAGAGTCTGAGGAGCAGGCAGGCCCCACGGCCCACAGGGCACTGAGGCCTCCTGCCGGCACTCAAGCCCCAGGCCCCACAGCAGACCCGTCCCCAGGGAGGCACCCACAGACCCCACACCCACACACAGGCGAGGACACACCCAGCTGCACACAAAGACCCAGTGTGGGGAGGCAGGCTCCGGGAGGAGGCACGAGGCAGCATGGCGGGGAGCGCACAAAGACGGGCCTTGGCAGGCAGCGAGGGCAGGGGCCGGCTGGACGCGGGACAAGACGGCCACATGTCCCCGCCCCCGAGGCCAAAGGCTGCCCCGCCCCAGCCCTCCAGCCCCCACCGCCCCGCCCCACCCCCCCACCCCGGTTCCCAGTCCCCAGCCCAGGCCCTGCTAGCCCGGCTTCCCCCGGGGTTTACGACCCAGCTGTTCTAACCCTGCAGCCAGTTTATTACACGGGGCAGGCCTGTTAAAGCCTAAGGGCGTTTATTACACTGTGGGGGAATCGGGTGGAGAGACGCATCTCTTGAAAAGGCTGAATGGCTTGTTGGACTGGGGCAGCAGTAATTACCCTGGGGAGACATTTCTCCCTCCAGCAGGGGGGGTGGATGGCAGGCAGGAGGGCAGGGCCCTGAAGGTAACTCCCGTCTCTCCCCCCACCCCACCCCCTGCAAGCTGTCCTCCATGCCCCTGGCCACCAGACTCCCCGGGGGCACGCAGACAAGGAGGCCAGGACACCACACAGCATCCAGAACCTCTGAAAGTTTCCAGAAAGAGCTCCGGGGGAGGGGCCTAAGCCAAGGCCCAGAATGTTACTCTAGGATGGCCCAGACCCACTGTCTTTGACCTCCCCATCTAGCTAGTGAGCTACATAGTGCCTAGCAGGGGGGAGGGGGGCACACAACCCTGAAGCCCAAGGCAAGAGAGCCTCTGGCCACACACAAGGTGCCACGGACCCAGGTACCCACCACCAACGGCCCAGGGCTGGCACCTTCTGTCTACACCCAACATCGTCTGGGCCTCCTGGACCCCAAAATTCACTGACCCCAGTAAAACACTAAATGATCAAGAATCTTCCCTAGAGTTCCCACACACCTGCATTCTAGAAAAACACAACAGCCAGCCATTAATAATGGTTAGCTAATGCAGACCCAAACAATAAACTCATTTCTTGTAAAAAAAAAAAAAAAAAAAAACACCCACAAAGCGATGCCCCTGTGGTTAAAACTACATGTGCAGACCCTCCATCTGCCTGCCTCTGTGCAGCATCAGAAGCCATGACAAAAACCTTCTGGTAGACCTAGAATCTGAGAAGCTAAAACGCCTGTACAATCCCGAAAAGCCACGGTCCTGGGTGCCCATAGCCCGTACCAGCTCTTTGTATATGGACCTCCACAACACAGGGGGACCTCCACAGGTCCACATCCCTGGGCTCAGCTCTCTTGATCTAGAATCCCAGAACAATATTCCTTCAATTCTTGTGCCCTTTCTTGGCCATAACCACCCAGTCAGAAACCCAAGTTAACACACCCCTTTTCAGAATCAAGATCAATGCCAGCCCCCTTTAGAAGCAAGCTAGAGTGATGAATCCAGAACCCTGGAAGCTACTGACTCAGAACTGAGGCTGGAACTGACCCCTCCACCCCCCTACCCCCACCACCCCCGCTTCAGGGAGTAGCAGAAATGAAGATCGGAGGGGCTGAAAGGCTCTGAAACCAAAATCGGGGTCAAGAACCAGGAGAGTGTCACCCCCTCGGGGCACTTTTAGGAGCCAGGTGTACTGGTCCCTCCATGCCCAGACTGACATCTGGTGCAGGGGTGTCAATGGGTGTCTGGCAGGTCGGTAGGGATATTGTGTAACAGGAGGGGTTGAGGGATGGAAGGTAAATGGAGGAAAGAGTGAAGAGGAGGGAAGGAAGGCAAAGAGAAATATAGGGAGAAGCCAAGAGAAGGGACATGGAAAAGCGAGTGCAGAAGGAGAGGCTCCCTCACACTGGGGGATGCTAGGGAGATGTTGGGGCAGAGAGGAAGGATCTCCCCCTCTCCTAGAAAGCTCTCCCAAGCTGGCCTCTTCCTCTAGCCAAGCATGGGGTCCCAAGAGAAGCCTTCCCTTCACCTCTTCTCATGACTAAGGTCAGCAGAGGTGGGGGTCAGCCATAACAGGTGGCCTCCTCCCTACTCTTCTAGCTGCCCTTTGACCCGCTTCCCTGCTCTCACCTGCCTGACCTTTTCTGGCTCCTCCCTTCAGGCTCCTACCACCTTCCATCCCTGTCCTGCAGCACCCTCCTGCTCCCCTCTGCTGCCATGTGGCACTGGGCAGCCATTAGCCCTCTTGGGGCTGTTCTTCTCCTCTGCACAGCAAGGGGGTGGCCATCTCTCAGGCAACCCCCACACCAACATCACACACACACACACACACACACACACACACACACACACACACACACACTCCCACCCATACTCTCTCCTCCATTTTCTCTCCTGGTTTCCCAGCTCTTTGCATCCTGACTCCAGCTCCTTCACTGAGCCTCCCTGTGCCACTCAACTCCAAGGAAGGCCCCTCCTTCC